TTACACAGTTTAATAATGAAATTTTGCCCCCCTAGTAATTTGCTCAGCCCGGCCCTGGTAGCTAAAGTGTGAAATGTGTGCGCTACATACGATAGAACAGGACGAACAAGCACAGAAACACGCGCAATAACAACATCGTTTAATTTAAATCCACACGTTTATTTTTCAGCTATACATAAAATTAATATGCGGTAAACCTTTCCGTTTGATGAAGTGAGCATTTATCGCGACCAGCCAGTAGTAGTGGTAGTCATGCAGTGGCAAGCAACAGCACTTTGCAACGATTGCGGAAATTCGGATGTGCATTTCAATCGGCACTATCCGCCATGACAGTAGTCTTTAGCCGGTGCTGTGCGAAATTCCTGACTTGCAAAATACATGATATTGGATGCGTATGCGTCCCGACCTGACCAATCACAGCTCGTCTTTGTGTGCGAAATTCCTGACCTGCGAAATAAATGATATAGGATGCGTACGCGCATGCGCACTTCGCATACATGCTCAAATACGGCGACTTCGACTTCCCCCCCCCCCAGCTCAATTCTCCTACAAGTCCTCAGTAGAACTAATATAAACATTACAAACTTTATATAAACCTTCAATTGACAGTTTGTGTTCGTCCAAGTGTACACAACCTATCGTAACACAAAGACGAGCTGTGATTGGTCGGGTCGGCACGCATGCGCATACGCATCCTATATCATGTATTTCGCACACGCCAGCAATTTGGCGCGACACCGGCACGCAAACCCTCGCTCGCTTGCGCTGTGAGGAAAACTCGCACGTGCTTCCACTAATTTACATACAACCCACTGATCTCTATATACTAACAGAGATGTCAGATATTGTCAGAGAACAGATACTGTCAGTATATTATAGAGATCAGTGATATAACCACACACTAGTGCATTGTGGGAATTCTGCGACGTCACTTGCTCCTATCGGTCAGCCAAAACTTCGTATAAGCAAGGGTTAACAAAGTTGGTATACCTTTGTATTAACACACATTGTTATATCGACACACTTATGTAATCTATTCTTCGTCAACCAATATGGCAGCCACGCAATCTTGACTGTTAGCACTGATAGTATATACACTGGCGACACAGTATTCGGTTATTACGTATAGATCAGTGCACGCACACGCCACAACTCGCCACCAAGGTCTATAGATAATCTATCTAGATTATCTATAGATTTATCCATAGGCCTTGCTCGCCACCAAGGCTATAGATAATCCATAGATTTATCCATAAGCCTTGTCGCAGAGCGCGTGAGAGAGGCAGACAGACAGAGAATGGGATTGTCGCTTACGAGTAAACAGAAAGTCCGGAGGCTGCTGTCCAGTTAGTCAACGCTAATGGATTGAGGCGAAGTCACGTCCGATAGCTGTGTCTCATTGAAAGTATTAAATCAACTTAAAAGGTCTAGCAAGCGTTAGCAGTAGGCTCATCCCACTCTCTCTCTCTCTCTCTCTCTCTCTCGCGTGCGCACGTGCGTGTGTATGTGCATGCGTGCGTGCGTGCATGCATGTGTGTATGTGTTCGAAAATGTGGGCGTGTTTGAGTACGGATTTCTGTCTCTCTGTTTCTGTCTCTCTCTCTCTGTCTCTCTGTTTCTGTCTCTCTCTCTCTCTCTCTCTCGTGTACACGCTGGATTCTTCGCTCCCGTTGTCACCACTCCGCGGAAATCACCAATTCCGCCCGCCTGATGGCGCTGCTCCAATCACACATGACTCACGTGAATTGTCCACACGAACATAATCCGCTTCGTACCTTAACGACAAAACCCGAGCGTTGTACTGCACCGCGATGTGGATCGTGCCTGCATCCCGGCGGCCATGTTGGATAGAGAAGAGATGCGCCTCATGCAGAGAGAGAGAGAGAGAGGGGCTCGCGTTTGTACGTGTGAATAGGAAGCGAGCGAGCGGGGGCGGGGTGGGGGGATGGGCAGCTCACAGCCTTGCACCCGATCCATATCTAAGCTGCGAAATACTCGATCTGCTACGATATAGCCTCGCGCTTTCCTCTGCTGCTACGTCATGACGCAACGTTCGCGTTGTTTGTGTGTGTGTACGCGCGCGCGCGCGTGTGTGTGTGTCGCTCTCCATCTCTATCTCTTCCTTGGTAGCTTGCCTTCTCTTTCCCCCATCTCTCTCTCGCTCTGTCTTTCCCCTTCTATCTCTTCCTCTCTCTCTCTCTCTCTCTTTCGCTGCTGCTATCTCTCTCTCTCTCTCTCTCTCTCTCTCTTTCGCTGCTGCTATCTCTCTCTCTCTCTCTCTCTCTCTCTCTTTCGCTGCTGCTATCTCTCTCTCTCTCTCTTTCGCTGCTGCTATCTCTCTCTCTCGCTATCCATCTATCTTTATCTCTCTTCCTCCTTCTATATATCTCTCTCTCTCCCATTCTCGTCCTTTTGCGCTTTCCCTCGTGTTTCGCGACACGAACCATCAACGCACGGGCTCAGGCGCGTGGGGGGATGGGCCTCGCACGCGTCCCGCGCGCACCCTAGCGGCGAACGCTGCAACATTCTACCGCGATCGCAGTGCCGCCTATCTACGTCCACGTCGTGTCTCTCACCTCTCGTATGCAGCAGACTCCTGTAGCAGACTCCTGTAGCAGACTCCTGTGTTGTAGGACTCCTGTTCCGGTCAGGTGAACAGTAGTAGCTGGCACTGCACGCACGCACGCGGACTGCCTGCGAGGCGTGACTCATGTGTACGTGCGCAGCCTCGCGCCGCAGCCACATGCTCTGCTGCTGCCGCTGCTGCTGCTACTGATGCTGCTGCTGCTGCTTCTACTGCTGTTGCTGCTGCTGCTTCTACTGCTGTTGCTGCTGCTGCTGCCGCTGCTGCTGCTGCTGCTGCTACTGTTGCTACTACTGCTGCTGTTGTTAATCTATATAGATTATCTATAGATTTATCCATAGGCCTTGCTCGCCACCAAGGCTATAGATAATCTATCTAGATTATCTATAGATTTATCCATAGGCCTTGCTTGCCACTAAGCAAGCACACGTCGTTAGCGCTCACGACAGTCGAGACATGGCTCCCACTACACACCTACCAAACGCCTCGCTTCCTCCATCCTCCTGACCAACCGCCGCGAACGCACGCCAACGCTCGCTCCCCAAATAGAAAATACAGCGACGTTAGACACATAGAACCATAATTGTACTCGATAGTAATTAATTCATTCTAGATTGTAGCGATATATATTTATAAGCTACGCATCATTGATAAATGAGACAACCGCCGGATGAGAGACAACGAAACTGAGCTTGTCACCGTATCGCCCAGGCGAGCCAACGGAACGTTCGAGCCGTGTTTTCCGAGAGAAACAACAGAAGAGCGGCACCTGCATCATCAAGGCAAGGTGGAACGCTCGAACATACTATTGTGTCCCACAAAACAACCGTGTTATAGTCGTACCATCCAGGGAACGACAACAGAACGCCCTACATGCATCATCTGGGAAAACAACTGAACATTAATATCCGTATCACCCGCCAGAAAACAGAAACGGAACTGGTCTTATGCAAACTCCTGAGCATTACTAGAGCCGAATGGAGAGGTGCGAGAGAAAGCAGGGAGAAGGAAGAGAGAGGATAACTCCAGCATGCAGAGAAACAGATGCACAGAAACACATTACAAACGTAGAGAGTGCGCAATTCAGCACTGCTGCCACCTGGTGTGAACTCTGGGCATGAAAAAGGCGCACAGCAGCCGATTCCCACTGCTCCACAACTTTTCCCCGTTGGTTATACGCTGCCCCGGAACATTCCGGTACGTCAGGAGACCGGTTCCAGCGTGACGCGGTGAACAAGAGTGCATGTAATGCTATGACGAGCGGCCACATCACTGTCTGTGCACGAGCGAGCGTTCATTAATTGATGTGTCACTCCCTCGGGTGCTATCTCAGGACACTCTGTGCGCTCGTCTGTGCGCTCGTCTGTGTGCTGCCATATAACCAGTTTGTGGACAGACTGAGGGCACTCAGACACAAACGTAGTTAAACATAAAAAACTACACTCTTACTGAATTTGTTGCCACACATTTTATACATGCATGAATATGTGTGTGTATGTATGTATATGTATGTACGCATGTATGTATATATATATATATATATATATATATATATATATATATATATATATATATATATATATATATACATATATATATATATACATACACACACACGCACACATATATATTACAATACTTTATTGTTACTAATTTATACCTATTATAACCCCGTAGCACACTCCCTCGCAAAATGAAAGTATGTACATTTACAGTCGCTCTCACTTGAACATTTGCAAACCGGGTGTAACTCCTGTCTCCCGAGATACAGCTCTGTCACTAAACACAATGGTTGAGAGTTTAAATACAGTCTACAAAGTTGCTACGCCTCGACCGCGTTGCCTCTGACGGCTTGCCTGGCTTTGTACAAATGCTGAAAACGCGCACGATACACTGCGAACGAAATTTACAAAGCAAAACACTGTCACGCTGAGAGTTACGCGAAAGGAAAGGCCCGGCCTTACAACACAGGATACACAATAAGTTACGCCAAAAGCCAGAGCAGACACGTTCGGTTGTGGAGTACGCCTGCAACGGCAGCAACAACATAAACCGCGCGCTCAACCCTGCCCCCAACAAAAGAAAACAACAACTTAGGACCGCTCTAGCTCATTAGTTTACCTTTTGATTCCAACATGAGATTTATTTATGCATTTTTCTAGCACTAGGAGGCAGCACTGTCTGCTGTGCAGACGAAGCTCCTGCTTATCGCCATGATTGTGAGATAACAGAGAGGGGAGGGTCCAGCCAGCACAGTGCAGTCGCCCTCTGCGATAACCTAATCTGCGGGCCTTGGTGCACGCAGTGTTAGCAACCCTACTGAGGCACGCGTGGGAAGGAGTGAAACGCACCGCACACATAGTACTGACCCTCTCCACTCCATCCCCTCCCTGCCCCACCATGCCCCGCCCTGCCCCGCCCGAAAGCATGCGTTCATTTGAATGTTTTTTGACCATCAATTTCCTTAGCGAGTCTACGGCTCACTCGCACCCTAGGACTCAAAACACCACGGAGGTGGAAAGACTAAACCAGGAAGTGACATCACCGTGACATCGTCATGCTAGTATAAATGCACAGGCTTCCGATTGGCCCGCCTCAGCGGCCGGACTTGGAGTGTTGGATCAGCCACTGTAATGTTATATCTGCAAGAGACAGAAATGCGTGTTAGTTGATAGTGGGTGCCCTCACGGTTGTGCGGGTCCTTGACATCGGCTGCCGAGACCGCGCCAGTAAAGCCGCACCCGCGGAACTTTCCCCCCGCGGATACCGATAAATGTTTCAAGTCACCGTGTTGGTGAACAGAATGTTTTATCATACCCAACGGTTATTTACACGGAGCTTGCAGAATTACACACAGAATGACGGCAAATGTTGGCTGTCGAAACGATTAATAGATTATTAATTTGTATAGAGAATTAAATTGTATTGAATTTAAACTGAATTGAAAATTGAATTGTCCTTGTCGTACCTATGTTCTCCTTCTCCTTGCACGATATAGAGTAGCAACAAATCTCCCTGTCCTGAATAGCCGCAAGGTTCCTGCAAAGTGCGTAAACAGGGTGCGAAATTAACGAGAGTCCGGAGTCAAATACTCCCTGATTTACTGTCGGACTCCCTGATTGGACATATGCAGTCCGAGTCCGTGTGAATCGCTGAAAATTCTGATATATACTAACTAGTTCGTTCCAGAGCCCGGCCTCACGGTATTACCATATATTTTCAGCAAGTGTCCAAAGAAAATTTGGCAGACGTGCAACTGCATGAATCTTCAAAATAAGCACATGCTTTATTGTTAATATCTTTAGTTTTGAACTTTAGACTGCGGACTCCCTCATTTTGCTGCAGACTCCCTCATTTTGCTGCGGACTCCCTCATTTTGCTGCGGACTCCCTCATTTTGCTGCGAACTCCCTCTTTTTAAGGGCAGGTCCGTTGGACTCCCTTTTTCAAAAGTTAATTTCTACCCCTGGTAAAGATGGAATGAGACACCACGTATGACTGGCAGCAACGTGACGTCTGGCGCGACAGCCACACAGTTCACATGTTTGTCACAGCATAGCGTGGTGAGTCATACCATGTCATATCATATCCTGGAGGAGAAATCATAATAACTTCCAATTACTTAACAATCAATCAATCAATCAACTTGCGGCCTTGGCCGAGAGTCTCTGCACAACAGTCCTCCAGCACTCATGGTCAACTACTTATCACTTACTTCCAATTACTTAACAACGAAATACCTCGTCTAGACACTTAGTCATCTAACTCAATTTACTGGCACACGGAAAACCCAATGAAACTCCAACCATCCCTTGCTCCTTAGATTTATCAAGCCAAAGGAACAGGCTTGGTGACATTAGTTAGCCCACCCAAACAATTATTTTTGGAACGATGGCTACGGTAAAACTATCTAAAGTGCTGACATCTACGAAATCAAATCGGAAAAAAAATTGCAGAGCAACTTCGGGTTCGTGTGATTCCTCCCTATGTCAATAGAGCTAGCAGATGCCGACAACCATTCAGTTGCCATGCCAACCGATAGTATCTACAGAACTTTCTAATTACGTGGAAAAGTAAACTCTTGTTCTCTAGTCCCAGAAGAATTCGATTGTAAAAGAAATCCGACGAACGTCCTTTCCTACAAAGCCGATATAGAGGCATGCATAGAAAAAGCCTTTCAGTGCCAGACTATAAACAAAGGGCTGCAAAGGGCTGCCTCTAGCTGACCAAGACGACCAACGCAAAATGACTGCAAATGTCCAATTTTCTCTCTTCTCTCCCTGCCCTTCTTCCTCCCTCTCTCAGCACCCCCCTCTTCCCTGCTGTCACTCTCCTTCTCCTTCTCCCTCTTCTCTCTCTTACTTTTTTTCTCTCTCTCTCTCTCTCCCTCTCTCTCTCTCTCTCTCTCTCTCTCTCTCTCTCTCTCTATCTATCTCTTTCTCTTTCTCTCGCCATTGCACCCCTATTTTTGCTCTCTCTCCCCCTTCCCTCCCACATCCTCACTTCTCATCCCTCCCCTTCTCCCTCCATCTCTCTCCCCCTCCCTCCATGCCCCCCCACCACCTCCCCCTCCCCACATCCCACTCTCTCTTCA